CAGCTATAACATTCAAACATATATTGTAAAATAAAAGATAAGGCAAAATTGTAAAATCAATTAAAGGTGGTATTCCTGTATGGGTGGTATAGCATAAATAGCGTTAGCTTCGCGTTAGTTTCTAGTTTAATCTTCCTCTTGAAGATGATCACTTGGTGATCGGAACACGTGTCGAGGTGTTATAAATAACGATTTGGTGTTTGGTGTCAGTTATATTCATTACTACACAAAAGGTGCAAGCAGTGCATCATAAATATTCTTGAAGTGATACATTTCGAACCAAAACATTTGGTTTTTAAACCAATGTTTGAAAGAAGAAGTGTTTCCGAGATTTATCCAATTGAAGACCAATAACATGAGCCACGCTGCATCTGGAGGAAGTAGACATGGAAAATTGAATGGATAAAAATAGAAAGGAAAAAAGTATAGCTAAGAGGAAGTTGCCAACATGCGTCTCTATGGTGAAAATCGTACAATTGACTGTATTAATGAGTTCAAATATGGATTTTCATTAAGTATCGATCAGTTCTATTCAAAACTAGCTTCGTTATTGAATACAGCTTTTCTGTCGATTGAAGCATTCTTGGTAGATGGATCATAGACAGGAATTCACTCAAGGAAGTAGAGCGTGAACACAATGAATGTAATCAGGATTCAATATATAATCGAGCAGAATCCTCCATACTGGAATATGGACGACATTCAAATTATTGGCAGCTTGCTAATAGTTGAATGGTCGAAAATTTTCAACCAATATTTGAAATGATTTCAGAACTTTAGCTACTATGGCACTATTCAGTGAACATCAATTCTGCAGTTGGTAAAAATATCAAAGTCTCAAAATAAATACTATTTTTTGTACAACTGTCATTAAAGAGACATTTTTAATGGTTGCCAAGAGTATTAAAAGACATTGTTTACAAAGTAGCGTGTTAAAAATATTTTTAACACTTTGAAAGTATTTTCAATATGATTTTTTTCGACCAAATAGCAATAAACCAAACATAATTATTCAATTTTCAAGGAAGTTTTATCATGAACAATAGATATAGATAAAACTGAATTCTGTTATGTATTATATACATTATTATTATTAACTATGAACATTAAAATGAAGAGTACATTTAAAACGACTGCCGATATCAATACCTTGCGATGTTGAAAAACCTTGTGATATATTTGTAGTAGCTGAGTTGACAATTTCATGGGCATTAACATTTAATTCTTGAAGTGAAGAGGGCGATACTGTAATGCTGGAGCTAGCTGTTACGATTATTCTTCCAACAATAGCCTTTTCATAAGAAATAGATTGATCGATGTAACCCCCAGCTACTGTTGTAGACTTCCATCCTTCCTGCTACTTGATATCCGTTATATTTGCTCCTGATTCTACTAGCAAAGAAGCAGAAGACGTTTTGAAACAGTGACCTGTATACAGGGCCGTAGCGAGAAGAAAAACCAGGGTGGCGAGGGAATCCAAATTTTCCCAACCCCCACCAGAAAAAATTTCCAAAGTAAAAAAAAATGAAAGCCAAGGAATTAGTTACTACTATAATATATTAATTCTCTTACTTAGCTATCCAAAGATTGGCTGAATGCTCATGCCCGTTAGGGTATGCACAAACAAAAATGAATTTTGGTAATGATGAAAATAATTATGGGAATTATTCTACTTTGGACCAAGGTCCTTGATCTTTCACCATATCTACCATGTATAGGGATATTTAATACAAATGAAAGGAAACAACACTTAAATAATATTGTGCTTATTGTTTTCTACCATTATTTTTTCTATCTCCACAGCCCGAAATTTCCCAACTTTTCCAAGTCGAATAAACAGCGAAATGTTGGGAATTTTGTAAAATTGTCACTTCAGAATTTGGGGACTGTTCAACTGTTCTCTTACTTGGGGGAAATTCAACTATTTTGAAGTTTTCAAACAACTCAGAATTTCAAAGTATGGGCTACCCAATTTATGCATGTTGGGAAATCCCATCCTTGTTCTGGTTCTTTCCCTTTCCTTATTACCTCTCCCTTTTTTTTCTCTCATTTCATTTTTTTTAATTTTCATTCATTTTTTTACTATTTTTTTCTATCTTCACTTCCCAACTTTTCCCCAAGTCGAAAAAGCAGGCGGGAGGCTCCCCCCATCCTTCTCCCCTTGGCGCCGGCCCTGCCTGTATATTCCTTTGGTTCCGGAAGGTTCAGAAAGTCAATAATGGTGGAGAACATTCTCCTAAACGTATTTATATCTACTGAGTTGGCACTGCATTTATAATTTGGGTATTTCAGAATAAAACGTCCCTGATTGATAACAAAAAGACGTAATGCAACCTATTTATGAATCGCATTTATGAATCTCTGGACTTGTTCAAACGTAAGAGTTTTTGATTTTTTGGGCCTATAACTTTCATTTTTTCGCTTTGAGAATGCTATTACCTTGAAATATGTGCTAGTATTTAACACCATTTTTTACGAGCGCACTCGATTTTGTCATTGAAAACTTGCTCCACGAAGTCGAGGTGTTCCACATTTTTGACTTATCTTCTAGATAGGATTAGAAGATGGTTTCGCTGGAAGTTTTTGATTCTATACCATATAACAATTCAATTGAAATTATTTTTTCATCTTCTTCAATATCGTCAGGAACACACTCACCAACAAGAACTTCAAATGAAACGCGTGAGCTGTGAACAATACTGTTTTTTGGTAACCAGGTGATTCGGCGTCACCTGACACGGCCACTTCAGAGCAGATGTCAAAATGTGTTTTAATGGAAATATTAAATTTATCTATTTCATTATGGAAACAGGACATTTGTACAAAAAACTTTGTATGATATTTGTGTTGAAATCAAGTTTTATTTTGTTCGTAAAAATGCTCATCTCACTACGCTCGATTCGCAAACTCTTTCACTCATAAAATGAAACTCTATTTTCAACACTCATATCGTAAATAACTATTTTTCCGCTCAAAAAGCCAAAACTTACGATGATGAAATATTGAATGATGTGAGAGATGAAGTATGTTATCTAATCAAGTAATACTTCATAGTGAAAATTTAGCTCTGTTACGCCAGCAACGCAAAGTATGGAAACCACATTTAGAAAATGCCAAAATTAGGTACTTTTCAGGTGCTTTTTAGGTACCGAAGTCAAAAATCAGGTGCTCTGTAACTTACACCGCAACTCAATACGCAAGTTGCGTTGCTAGCATTATGTGATGCTAGCAACGCAATGAAAATAATAATAAAATAATGAATGTTAAGGTGACACTATTAGGTGCTAATTAAGTGATAAACGGTGAGGATGGTAAAATTTTCTAATTAATAAACAAAAGCTTCCGATTTCGCTGAACAACATATCTAAGAATCAGGTCTCTCGAAAACGAGGACGAATGCTCTCAGTTATAAACTGAGCGTAGTAATTATTAGGTGCTTGCAAGAAATTAAGATGAAAACGACCGCGAATAAGTAAAAAAAAAATCGAAATACCTGATTTAAGAAAAAAAAATTAACAATATGTATCTCAAGTCTTGAGATACTCGTAAACTAATACATAGACAATCAAAATGAAGTGCTAATTAAGTGCTCACTAGTTGAATAATAGTAAACTTAGATTCCATAATGCCTATGGGGCTTATGGACCCGTTAACAGCCATGGTCCCGATAACCACCATTAAAAAAAATTTTAAAATATGTTTTTATCGGGTCCATGGTGGTTATCGGGTCCATAAGCCCCATATGAATTATGGAATCTAGATTTACTATAAATATCTAATGAGCACCTAATTAGCACCTTATTCTCATATCCTTACTTATCGAGGAACGTACTGTAAGAACTCAGTCCGTCAGTCATAGTGGTTTTCCATAATGCCCCATAGGCATTATCTAGGTTTACTATTATTTATCTAGTGACTACTTGATTAGCACTTTATTTTGATTGTCTATGTATTAGTTTACGAGTATCTAAAGAATTTAATGCATATTGTTAATTTTTTTTCTCAAATCAGGTATCTCGAATTTTTTTTTCAATTATTCGCGGATGTAATCATCTTAATTTCTTGTGAACACCTTATTAGCACTTTATTACCACGCTTAGTTTATACCTGATAGAGCATTCGTCCTTGTTTTCGAGAGACCTGATTCTTAGATCTGTTGTTTAGCGAAATTGGAAGCTTTTGTTTTTAATTAGGAAATTTTACGATCCTCACCGTTTGGCACTTAATTAGCACCTAATAGTGTTTCCTTGACATTCATTATCTTATTATTATCTTCATTGCGTTGCTAGGCATCACATACTACTAGCAACGCAACTTTGAGTAGTGAGTTGCGGTGTAAGTTACAGAGCACCTAATTTTTGACTTCGGTACCTGAAAAGCACCTAAAAAGTACCTAATTTTGGAATTTTCTAAATGCGATTTTCGTTTTTCGCGTTGCTGGCGTAACAGAGCTTGAAAATTTCACTATTACCATAATCGAAACTTGTGTCCTGGCTTCTTCAGATGTGTTCCTGTTTCATGAATAAACCATTACTTGAAAACGTTATTTTGACCAGTTCATCACATATGTAAGTGATGAATAAGAAAAAATCATTTTTCACGTAGTCAGTGGGCAAATTCGAAGACTGGCTATGAATCAAATTCTCTCAATGAACAATTTGTTCAGGCCAATCTCAACTCCCTACAGTCTAGGTTACTGTACTGGCACCTATCAGAAAACAACTACTACCCTGGCTTCCCCTACTCCCCGACACCTGTCGGATACAATCGAACGCACTTCGTCGTATTAGCCAAGGGAGTAGTTTTTTCTGATAGCTGTCTGTTCATTAAACTACAGAATAGGAAGGTGATACTAGCCTGAAAGAATTATGTTTTTAGATGGTTTGCAAAAAATTCATAGTCATTTTTTATCAATTCATGATACCTTGCCTCTGTGTATTTTATTTTGGATATCCAAAAAAGAGCCAGTAGTATTTTCTTCACTATCATCATTTTTGCAGGTGTCTAATACCGGAATGTGAAAATACCTCAGACACAACCTATAATCCTGAGTGGCTTGAGCATTTTGTACCTTATCAACATAATTTTCCCAGCAGTTGTTCTCGTTACACTTTGACAAACAATCAAACATGTTTGAGCCAAGAGATTCTCAGTAATGAGACAATCCAGTGTAATGAGTTTATTTTTCAGAGAGAAGAATCAGCAATTGTTCATGACGTAAGTAAAAAGAATTAAGCGTACCTATGCCTGAATTCGAAGAGAATATACTTTAACTATTCATGCTTTTCACTACGATATCACCTGAGGAATTTTTTTGATTTTTTGATTTTGTTCTTGGGCTGTTCCATTGGGACAATTGTACTTCAGTTTCGATGTCATAACCATATATACATTTTTCATCACCAGTTATGCACCTTTTGAACAAATCTAGATTGCCATAGATGTCATTCAATAATTCCTGAGCTAACGATATTAATAATAATAATATGCTTTATTATCATAAAACATAGTCTTGTAGAAAAAGCTTGTGTAGTACATACTTAAAAAAATGCAATACATACCAACTGAAATAAAAATAAAAATATAAATAGTGTATGGGTACAAACCATGTCAAAATGGAGGATATGAAATATACGTGTATATAAAAGAGTAAAAGTCGAATTTATAAAAGAGTAAACATAAAAAGTAACAACTGAAGAGCTCCTTAATGAATGAAGATAAAAAATATGCGTGAGTCAGCTAAAAGCTATCGTTGAAATATTCATCCAAAGTATAATAGGGTCTATCAGATAGAAATTGTTTGACTAACTTCCTGAATTGGAAGTCATTTATATTGGCAGATCTTATGTCCATAGACAAATGATTGTACATTTTTCCATCTTTGTAAAATATGGAGTCTCTGGTAACGTTTTTAGTTGGCACAGTGAGTTTCAGAGTGTGTCTGCAGTTTCGGGTGTTGTAATGGGAAGAGGATGCAGCAAAATTTAATATATGCTCATTTATTAAACACACAGATTCCAGTATAAATAATGCAGTTACCGTTTGTTTGAAAGTGATTGACAATGTTTCATGATGAATTTCACTAGTTCGGACTTCCATTGTCTACTATATAAAATAATTTGAAATCCCTGAAACAACTAAAAAAGAAGAAATAAAAATGAGTAGCTGAAAATAAGAATTATATTTACCAAAATAAACCTGAAATGAAATAATAGTGAAATAAAATACTGGTAAAAAATAGAACAATTGAATAAATAAAAATAAAGAAAAGAAAAAAGAAAATAAAAATAAAAAGTGGAGAGATTCCAAGTCACGTTAGTTCACGACGTTTTGATTGTTAGTATCTACAATCGTCTTCGGGTGATGACTTTATTTTTATTTATTCAATTGTTCTATTTTTCACGTGTATTTTATTTCACTATTATTTCATTTCAGGTTCATTTTGGTTAATATAATTCTTATTTCCTGCTAATCCTTTTCAATTCTTCTTTTTTAGTTGTTTCAGGGATTTCAAATCATTTTATATAGTAGACAATGGAAGTCCGAACTAGTGAAATTCAATGCAGTTACCGTTAGAATACTATGTTTTTTGAAGAAGGTTCTACAGGAGTCTCTTGGTTTAAGGTTTCCTATATACCATATTTCATTTTTTTGTGAAATTGATAGACTTTTGAATGAAGTTGGACTGCATGCTCCCCAAAACGATATTCCGTAGCGTAAGTGAGAATCTATGAGTGCATAGTACGCCATCTTTGCAGTGCTGGCATAACAGCCAGAGGAGAATTTTCTAGTGAGTTGTTTAACATGATCCACAAATTTAAAATTCTGATCAATGAAGACTCCTAGAAATTTAGTGGTATTTTTATATTCCAGTGATCTGTCTTCAAAAAAAAATTCGTTGATTGAGCATCTAAATGATAATGAATTTGTTTTAGTTACGTTGAAAGATAAAATGTTTGAATCACACCAATCTTCAACTTTTTTCAAGTCGGTAGAGATTATTTTGTGCAACTCACAAGTGTTTTCATTTTTCCAAAGTATGGTAGTGTCATCTGCAAATAAGGTGAGCTTCCCAGAAATATTAAGCTTGGTGAGATCATTATTATATATTAAAAAAATGAATGGGACGTAACACAGAACCTTGTGGAACTCCATAATTAATTTCCCTTTTATTTAAAAGTTGAGATGTTTTGACCAGTTGCGTCCATCCCATTAAGTAGGAATCGAACCATTTGTGAGTTACTCCTCTGCATCCATAACGTTGGAGCTTTCTCAGAAGTATTTTGTGATCAACGCAGTCGAATGCCTTTGACAGGTCACAAAATACTGCGGCAGTCGTTTGACCGACATTCATCTCAGAATAAACTTTATTTAGAAATGAGAAAAGAGCATCGTGCGTATTTTTATTATTCTGGAAGCTGAATTGATTTTCACTGATGATATTATGCTTATTTATGAGTTCAAGTAGTCCTTTTTTACCTAATTTTTCAATGATTTTTGCGATGGTTGGTATGAGAGATATAGGACAGAGATTATAGGGATCATCAGAATCTCCGCCCTTATGCAGAGGAATAACTATAGAGGTTTTTACAAAAAAGGGGAATATGCCTGTTTGAAAGGATAAATTTTTCAGTGAGACCAGTACATTTAGGGCACTAGAAGGAAGGTTTTGTATTATTTTGATCGAAATGTCATCGTAGCCAGTATTTTTGTTTTTAATATTCATCATGATTTCAATTAATTCATTAATGTTGGTGTCATACAGAGACAGGTTCTCATCCATGCCCAAATTTTCTAGATGTACTAATGGATCATGAGGGCTAGCAATATTTTTACTCATATTATCTGCAATAGAGCAGTAAAAGTCATTTATAGTATCAGGACTTAGAGTAATGCTACATTTCCCGTTTTTTGAATTTCTTAATTCATTTATAATTGACCAGGACTCTTTCATCTTATTGTGAGACTCACTAAGTCTATTGTAAAATATTTCTTTTGCTCGCTTGATTGTTAATCTATAAATTCTACGGTAATTATTGAAGTTCATGCGATGGTTTGGTAGTAACTTCGCTGTCACACGCTTCATGCCCAAAATTTCTCAAAACTCGCATGGCATAAGCCAACCGATATACCGACTTTCTCAGCCACTTATCTGATGGTTATTCAACGATTCTCCATAACAACTCTTTTCACTTTATCAACATTTTCATAAGCTGTTGATGTGCTGGGGCGTCCAAAGCGAGCGCCTTCATTCACATCTTGACTTTTTGTGAAAAGATTGTGTCACTTGTAAACATATTTCAGACTCAGAGTACAATCACTTTATGTCATTGTCAACATTTCAAATGTTTTTGAACCCTAGATTTCTAGAGCAGAAATTCGCTGAAATGGCAAAATACTTATAACTTACATGCCTTTCACCAACAAACTGAACAGGCTAAACAACTGAAATTGAGAACATATTTCCGGGATGAGTTTACTAACATAAAAAAATAGAAACATCGCTAATCGAATATACGTAGCCCGCAAAATTCGAACATACACCATATTTTTCAATTATATAACTTTCCCTCATTCGCATTCAATGGTTGCACACAATTTATGTTTTACTGAAATACAGGGGTGCGCAAAAGTCCGGATTAAAATTAATACCTTTTTAACCAGTATTTTAGGAAAAAAACGCTGAAACACGTCAGTTGATATCACGTTGTACCCATTTTTTGGCTATAAAATGAATATTTTTTTCAACCCCTTAGCTGCAACCCTCCCCAACTTTTTTTTTCAATCACAAACCTATGTCGTGTATTGGCTCATTGAAAAGCTCGTAAAGAATGGATTCTGACCATACCCTCTTTTGAAAAGTTACAAATACCAAACTAATGCTATCTACGGGTGAATTAACGTAACGGATGCTGAAATTGGCCTACACCCTCTACTTGTCAGGCTCCTAAGCGATGGTAAAACCCGTCTACGGATTTCCGAATAGCCTCAGTCGGTATGTTATGTGAATCCACTCTAATTCTGCTTTTTAGATCTTCGATATTAGCCGGCCTATTTTAATAAATCTTGTCTTTCATATATCCCCAATAAAAATAATCTAATGGCGTTAAGTCTGGGGATCTTGGCGGCCATTCAATTGTACCACGTCGTCCAATCCAGCGTCCTGCAAATATGTCATCGAAATATCCTCTGACATTGATACCAAAATGTGGGGGAGCGCCATCCTGTTGGAACCAAAGTGTTTCAGTGGGGATATCTGGATCTGCTTCAGTGGGGATATCTGGATCTGCTTCAGTGGGAAACATATCAGCTAAAGCAGGGAGTAATTCAAAGCGGGAAAAGTCTAAGTAGCGTGCAGCTGTGAGGTTTCCCTCAAGAAAGTATGGCCCTAATATTCTGTTGTTGATGATGCCTGTCCATACATTTACTTTCTGAGGACGCTACGTACGAGCTTCGCATATCCAGTGTGGGTTTTCCTGGCTCCTGAATCGATAGTTGTGCCTGTTAACTACTCCATGTTAATGAAAAGTAGCTTCGTCTGAAAAGAGTATGTTGAGTGGAAACCCATTATTTTCGTTACATCGTCTCATTATTTCCACACAAAATTGCAAACGCCTGTCATAGTCATTTTCCAAGAGCTCTTGGACAAGACATACCTTATATGGGTGGTATTTTTCTGTTTTCAAAAACCCCTCAATCGTACGTCTAGACGTAGGATTGTTTTGGGCTAATAAAACCTTTGACAAATGTGGATCTTTCTGGAGAGATACGGCAATGTCCAATTTTTGATCTTCGTCTAAAACATGTGGCCGGCCCCTTCTGGGCAAGTCCTTCACTGTACCATGTTCTTCAAATTTGTGTAAGATCTTACTCACAGTAGCCTGGGAAATGTGATTTTCCGGATATTTTGCATTAAATAAAGTACGCACCTCACTTTGACTCCGCATTCTATCTCCACATCCCAACAATATCAAGACTTCGATACGCTGCCTCTCTGACGATACCATTTTTGTTTAGCAAATTAAAAAAGAACACTTTGAAGGTACCCAATTAATAAACTAAACATACATACAATTTCAATTCCACCCAGAAATGCCACAATTTTAAAACTGAGTCAAGACGATAGTTCTTATCAGGGCATTCATACAAAAAATGCAACAACCTCTTTTTCTTTTTGAGATACACTGGTCAACAATTCTTGGAATGGAACTAATTTTATGTGTAAGTTTTTGGTGAAAAAATAAAATTCACAAAATGTTGATGCTACTTTACTTTATTAGTTTTACACATAAATCAATAAAATTTGTTGTGGTGCCTGGCCCGGTTGGTGTGTTCTTAAAATTTGTAAACTTTCAAAAAGTAGGTACTGGGGATCCTTAGCAATTGTTGAGCATTGTACATCATCACCACTTATTTGTTTTTTGCAACATTAATTCACCCGTAGATTGCACTAAGTAGGTATTTCTAACTTTTTTGGTTTCAAAATAGTTTTTTCCCATTTCGTGGTAACCACATGAGTAAAAAAAAATGAACGGTATGGTCATATTCCATTTTTCACGAGCTTTTCAATGAGCCCATACACGACATAGGTTTGCATTTGAAAAAAAAAGTTGGGGAGGGTTGCAGCTAAGGGGTTGAAAAACAATATTTCATTTCATTGTCAAAAAATGCGTACAACGTGATATCAACTGATGTGTTCCAGTGTTTTTTCCTAAAATAATGGTTAAAAAGATTTTTGCGTGCCCATGTATATGAATTGATGTAGTGATACAGTATAGTATACAGTATTATATATATAATTTTTTTCTTAAATTTGTTACAGTTCAGTATTTTCTGCGGAGAAAACTTATGGAAACTAACGATGATAGGAACATTGAGTGTTGCTGGAGAAATAGTGTGTCTGTCATATGCTGGCTTCATTTCTGATAGGTGAGAAATACAGAACAGTACATCCAATACGTGTTGAATCCAACAATCTATCGATACATCTGCCACCGAATTCATCAGATCACTCCGGCCTCCCGCTATCGTAAATATTCATTGATCATCTGCGTGATATTAGTCATCTCCTATATTCAGCTATCCTGCAAAAACACTGTCTCCAGACCTTGTGCAGACCTGAGCGCATATAGTCTCCAACATCTAAAATCCAATGTGAATCGCTACTTCCACACAGGCACTGATCTCAGAGCGCCTTGAGGATTTTTCTATATTTCATGTGCTTTGTCTTTGAAAAAAATGCAAGAATCATGACCAACACAGATATTTCACTTAAATCGTTCAAAATAACATTTAAATCATCTGCTGGCACCCTTTGAATGTATACAACACCAATCGGTTGGATATTTCTAATAATGACTACTATAATGAGAGATAAATCCACACCTCGAAAAACACATATATTGGAATGCATAGAAGGTCAGCAGTATCAGACTTCGCATAATAATATATTTCTATCATTTTTATTCATTTTTATGTCGTACAAACCTTATAATAGAAAGACTCTCTCATTTGTGGAACTCTCTACTGTTTTCACGGCTACCTGCTCATCATTAGTATTTTTTCATTGCCTAATCACTCGACGAACAAAACATGACGTATCGACTGTTTATAGTTTAGAATATGACCTTAAAACAAATACGTATTCTTTTATATTCTTTCATATTTTTCATATTATCACGCGTATGAAATGTCTTCATTCTGTGGAGGTGAATGTATCCCCTAGAATCTTTTCATCTTTTTTAGTTAGACTCATTCATCTTCTCTATCACTTCATTGGATTCAAACCATCTATGGTTGCACCAGCTGGTGAAGCATTTGCAGCCAATAGCTGTTACAATGACTGTGTTTTCGGAGATGATCCTGAAATGTCTCATATAACTTTCAACATCTGTACTCATATTCGGCCAAAAATAACGATTTCTAATTTTTCCAAAAGTTTGGCTGACCCCTCAGATCCAAAATTTTCTTTCATTAGTTAGGTATATTATTACCTAGAATATAACTGTGCATTTGTTTTAATGATTTTGTACCAGCAATCGGTTTCTGCCGGTTAGGTGTTGCACCAGTTGTTCGGGTGAGTAGTGCCGCAACTCAACAAATGCTTCAGGTGTTAGTTGCCATCCCTGATCATTTATTTCCATCACCATCATAATCATCATCAGTTTTTCAACCCAAGTTAGTGCTGGTCAGGCCCTGTTCCTCGAAGCCTCGATACATTTGGTAGGGCGCGCCAGCATTCTCAACTAATGATCACGCCATATATCGTGGGGTGAGTGACCATTGGGTCCAAGAATCATGTGCCCCGAGTAAGCAAAGTGAGTCAAGAATGACAGCTTGTCTTAATGCGGCAAGTCAGCATGATTTTAAGATGCGAGAGTAGAGAAGGCGAAATTCCAGCATGAACTCCAATAATCAGAACAACCATTTTGAAAAGGTGGTCTGGATAGAGTCTGCAGAGTTCGAAAAAAAATATTTTCTTTTAGGTAGATATTCGCTCCGCCAGGAGCTGAAACCTCCACGAAAAATATTGTCTTGCTTTGGTAGTCCAGAAGGACTATATTATCTTGTATGAGCCTGAGGGTGGGGAACGAATAGTTCTAATTAATTCGGCACTTCTCGTTCCCTACAACGGATCAAATATCCTCCGGAGCTTAGGGCAACACCGGTGCCTTGTCAATACCGTAAGAGTTCCGTAAGTGGTAACAAAGCACCTAGAGCCTCGTTATGTCGATGGATATAGGCCGAGTATATAGGAGTATATAGGAGATACTAACAGTACCTGCATTGGAGTCTCAGGCGCCTTACGACAGACCATGCACCTTGTGTCACGAACCTCTATACCCATCAGGTGACTGCGGCAAACTGAGGTTTTGAATACATCAATCAGGCAGGCCATGATGAATCCCTCAGTTTTCGACTTCAGCCTACTCGACCTGAGAAAAGCAAAGGTCAGGCGTTTTGATGAAGCAAGGTATTTGATGTTATTGAAGAAGGCTCCATGCATTGACGTATCCTTTTGTTGCCGCAGAATTGATCTCTGCTGCTTTAAACTGAACGGGTTCAAACTTGGTGACGCGGTTGTAATCACCCCGTGCAGTGTCGTCATTATCTCGAAGTGAATTAGCAGTTAAGAATCAGGAAATTTTCACAAATGAACCACTGAGTTCAGAAACAAGAAGAAACATGAGTTTTTCTTCACTCACTATAACCATAATTTCAGATGCCTAACAGCGTCACTGTCAAGAGAACCGCTACTCCCCCTCCACCTTCGCGCAATCAGCGTTAATATCGATCACACGGAGGAACGAATCAGCGGGATAGAAAACATAGTTTCTACAATCTCTACATCGAAACATAGTTTCTACAATCTCATTATACAATAATCAAGTACAAATACAAAAATTTATAAGAGAACCGAAACTGACCTCATAATAAACACAACCCATGCACCCCATAACAAAAAATAAATTGAAACATTGAAGAAGTGATTCACATAATCAACAATTCCATTTAATTGAGAAGACCATAACTCCTCAGGGGCAGTTCTACGCTGAACTCCACTTGTCAGCTCTACGCTAATGAGCTGGCTACTCAACCTTTCCGTTCATCCCCCACCACATTATCATCTCATTCATTTATGACTCATATCCATTCATTCCTTCTTCCATTCACATCCTTCAGGATCAATTTAACATTCGTCTGGTCGGTCATCTCCTTCCATTTACGCCTTACAATCCTGTCTCCGTTTTTGCGTCTATCAATCATATGCTATGCTATGCTGTGTGCCTCTCATAGTCACAGGGACAAGGCAAATCCGGTTCCAGGGGAAACCTTGCCAGAAAAATTGCCAAGCCCCGTGAGCAGCTGATCAGCTTTCCGCGACAGATCAAATGATTCATACCTGACTGTTCAACATTTTCTGTAGAACAGTCTCCTGTTCTACGGAAACTGTAGAACAGTCGCCAAGTCATGCCTCTCCGACATTTCTTTTGCCATCCTTCCCTAATACTCTTTTTAATCCTCTTTCTCTCCTCCTTCTTATTATCCATGTAATTACGGACAATGGGAGTCACTAACCGATTATGGCACTGTCACGATGAAGCGATCTTAACTGGCACCTGCCATTCTCCTGGAACTATGTAGGTGCCAGATCATCTCACATCCTTCTCCTCTTGAAATTCTTCTTACGACTCTAAAGTTATATCTTCATGGTGGATTAGAAGATATTCAATGGATGTGAATGTGTCTAAATTAATTTTCCGGATGTATTGGTATGGTGTGAATATAAGTTATCAATTGTTTGTATTGGACATAGAATATAATTTCAAGAAGATTCTGCCTTTTCGATTAGATAGTAGTTCGGTTGTGGTATATAGTCTGAAAATTTCGTTCACTCAATATTTTCTTAATTTTTCGGTAATACTCTAATAACGTCAGTGTTGAGGTCTTTTTATCTTGTTATATGACTTGTGTCTGATTGATGGATGGTGATTTTGACCACATTGACTATGGATTCCAACTCAGATTGATGAACTATGTAACCCAGACTACCACTTGGTTTCATGGTTATCGGCAAGTAAGCTGTTTGTTCTTCTTCTACTCCTACGGTCTAATTCTTGTTGTACGTGGGGCCAGTTTGTTATTGAAAGTGCTTAATGACGTGTTGCTCCTGGGGATGACCAAAACTTCGTCTGTGGGTGTTGTCATAAGGTGAAGATATTCCATGCCCAGACAAGCAGGGATGTCGTTGCCACCCAATCTGTATTTTTGATAATCCGGTGTTCGGAGCGATCTCTTTTGTCTTGGAAAATTTCATTTCAGTGTTGAGTATGTTTTCTATATATGCAATATGCCATGTTCTATGTTGTCTGGAATTTGAATCTCCAATGTGAAAATCAATATATATATAAAAGAAAGTGGTATTAGTTACACTATTTATAACTCAAGAACAGATGAACCGATTTAGCAGAAAATTGGTTCAGAGGTGACTTAGAACAAGGAGAGGGAAATAGGATACTTTATATCCCGTTCGATCGCGTTTCCGTGAAGTCACTAAGAAGTCACTATAAAACATGGTATAGCAAAAACGCATCTGACATGGAATAACAAAAAAAGGTAAATGACAGGTAATCGCAATTTTGTCAATGGTTAATGAAGGCAATTGATGATGGAAATGGTGGTTTATATTTCCTGGATGCTCCTTGTGGAACTGGTAAGACATTTCTGATGTCATTAGTTTTAGCCACTGTTCGTGCGAGATCCAACATTGCGCTTGCAGTTGCTTCTTATGGAATAGCAGCCACATTGTTAGGATGCCATACGGCTCATTCAGCATTGGAATTGCCGTTAAATCTTCAAACTATTGAAGAACCAACATGTAATATTTCAAAAAACTCCGCAATGGCCAAAGTTTTATCAGCATCAAAAATCATCATATGGGACGAATGCACAATGGCGCACAAACGTGCATTAGGAGCACTCAACCCAACATTGTAAGATCTACGCAATGACTCGAAATGTTTTGTAGGTGCAATGATTTTACTGTCAGGCGATTTCCGCCAAACACTGCCAGTAATTCCAAGATCAACGGCTGTCGACGAAATAAACGCTTGGCTCAAATCATCGAATCTATGGCGCTACGTGAAGAAACTTCAGTTGACAACAAATATGAGAGTTGCATTGCTCAATGATACATCTGCTGAAGATTTATCTGAGCAATTGCTTACTACCGGTAATGGTCGAGTACCGGTCGACGAATCGAGCGGATTGATTTCATTTCCTCAGAATTTCTGTAACTTTGTCTCATCGAAAGACGAATTCATCAGCAAAGTATTCACAAACATAAATTTTGACTACAAAAATATAGAATGGTTGAGTTAGCGAGCAATTTTAGCGGCTAAGAAAAAAGATATAGATGACCTAAACTATTTAATTCAGAATGATATCATTGGAACAATGCATTCATTCAAATCAAATCACTGTGTAACAAATGAAGATGAAGCCACCAACGGTGGCGGCCACCGTTGGTGGCTTCATCTTCATTTGTTACACAGTCGCACAATTTACGCCTGGAGGTTGGCTCCATAGTTTTTATGCTTGAAAACATAAACCCATCAAAACTGTGCAACGGTACACGTTTGGTGGTTATTAAATTGATGAACAATGTAATTCACGAGACGATACTCAAAGGAAAATTCTAAGTCAAGAGACTTAATTTTTTTTTTAGTACTCAGTGGGCTATGCTTGAAAACTGGCAGTAAACGAATCTAAAGAAATGAAATTTAAACGTTCAAACCAGTCTCGAATATACCTACACAATAGGTTTAATGAACTGACGCCTATCAGAAAACAACTACCCCCTGGCTAATACCACGAAGGGCGTTGGATTATATCCGACAGGCCTCAGTGCAAGAATTTTCACAAAAAATTTCCTGCATATGCAATTGGCAATATAACTGAAAAAGTCGACCTTCAATTCTAGAACGGGCACACTTGCAGACCGGTTTCGGGCTTATTAGCCACACATCAGTCCAAGATAGTGACCATCATCGACCTAAAGTCAATGATATTCCACAATTGAAAATCGAAATTCTTTCAGAGTATTTTATTCCTCTTCCGAAGTTGGAGCGAACATCACAAAATGTCACTCCATCTAGTGGACGAGGTACTAACAAACTGCATACCCGTAATTTGCCTGATTCCTCTAAATGATGAAGGAACACTTTCTTATTAGTCAGTGGGCTATGCTTGAAGACTGGCAGTAGACAAATCTAAAGCAAATGAACTTCAAACGTTCAAACCAGTCTCGATATATCTATAAAATAGGTTCAATGGACTGACGTCTCTGACGCCTATCAGAAACAACTACCCCACTGGATAAGGAAAGAATATTAGATGTGGATGTATATGATATTCAAGGAATTTCAGACCATATGTCAGTGATGTGCAAAATTAATGCTTCTGTTTCTTCTAGAAGAGTTAAAATGTTTTCTTTTCGCGATTATCGTAACTTCGACTTTGATCTATTCCGTTTAGACGTCCTGAATATTCAGTGGGATCTCATCTATCAATTCGATAACGTGGATTGTATGGTCTCCTTCCTGAACGACAACATTCTTAATCTTTTCGAAAAACACACCCCTTCTCAAACGAAGAGAGTAACTAAACCCCCAGCACCTTGGTTAACTTACAATATAAAAATGATGATTGCACTCAAAAACCGAGCTCTGAGTAAATACAAGAAATCTTTCTCTATCGCCGATTGGAATAGCTATAAGGACCTCAGAAATTATACATGTGTGCGTTACGACGCGAGAAAAAAGCATATCTGGACTTTGTTTTGAGAAATAAAAATTCCAAAGCAACTTGGAATACCTTAAGAACGCTTGATATCCTGAGGAACAACAAAAAATCAGATATCCCTGATGAATTAAAAGACGTCAATCTCATTAACCAGCACTTCAATTCCATACCTCAACCTATCAGATCTGCTCGCCAATTGTCCTTATTAGATCGATATGTTATTTCGGAAGAAACTGAAAACTCCTTTCACTTCACCTCAGTCACCTGTGAGATTGTGCGAAGTTCCCTGAGACGCATCAAGAGCAACGCTTTGGCTTCTGACGGGATATCCCTCAAAATGATCAATCTCACTGACTCTTTTTTGATAAATCACTTCACCTTTCTCATAAACTTTATCATTACCAGTTGCCAATTTCCAAAATGTTGGAAGGATGGATTGGTTATCCCTCTGGCTAATTGTAACTCACTTACTGTCCTTTCTGACCTAAGACCAATTACAATTCTACCGTATCTCTCTAAAGTAGTGGAATCTAGTCTGAAAAATCAGATTTAATGAGTACGTCAATGAAAATCATATTATAACATCTGTACAATCAGGATTCAGACCTCAGCATAGTACCACCACGGCTCTTCTGTCAATTACTGACGATATTTTTCAAGCTGCAGATGAACAAAATTTGACCTGTTCAATACTCCTAGATTACAGCAAGGCATTTGACACTCTAGATCATGAGATATTGTGGGACAAACTTGTCTACTTCGGTTTTTCTCGGAAAGCAGTGTCTCTCTTAGAAAACTATCTGAAGAATCGTACTCAAAGAGTTGTTGTGGATGAAGTTATTTCGGATGCTCTGCCGGTATTGACGGGAGTGCCACAAGGATCTATCCTTGGTCCCTTGCTTTTTAGTTTGTATATTTGTGACTTTTATCTGTCCGTGAAAAAATGCAATATACATCACTATGCAGACGACACGCAGTTATATTTCTCTTTTTCGCCAGGCGAGTCTACATCTGCTCTGTCGCATATTAATAACGATCTCCAAGCCATCTTTGACATTTCTACTGCCCATAAGCTCAAGCTCAATTCAGACAAATCCGCAATAATGATGTTCGGAGCTAAGAAGAACAGAGAGCTTATCAACTCTACCTTTCAAGTTCGCATCAAAAACGATATACTTCCCTCCGTGGACGAGATGAAAAATTTAGGATTGTGGTTTGATCTGGATCTCCGCTTTACTAAACATGTCAGCTATCTGAACCAATCTTCTTATAACGTTCTCAGACAGCTTTTTCCTAATCGTGATTTGCTCAACACAAACTTAAAACTCAGACTATGCAAGTCTCTGATTATGTCAAAAATTTCCTATTGCGATAGTATTTATGGACCTGCTTTGAAACAATCGGATACTCTCCGACTACAGCGTATTCAGAATAGCTGTCTACGTTTCTCGTTTGGTATTCGGAAATATGACCATATATCCCCAGCAATGCAAGAATCAGGATGGTTAAATGTTGGGAAACTTAGAACTCTACACCTTCTTACCAACACACATAAAGTTTTGATAACTCGACAACCTGATTACTTACTGAAGAAGCTTAAAACATTCTCTACGATTAACAGTTTTACTACAAGGAACAGTTCAGTTCTAGTCATCCCCAAACACAAATCTTCCATCTTCACCCGCTGCTTCTCGTATAATGCACCCAAATATTACAATCAACTACCCTGCGAATTTCGATCATACACCATCGTAAACTTTGAAAAAAGACTGAAGACTTATTTATCTCATTAGCCTCTTGCCCGTTCCCGACCTTGGCATTTCTAAAATGAATTTTCTAAAGTAAAGCAATAACTAAAATTTTTTGATATTGTTAACTCGACTTGTGTTCATATTATTTATCTATAGTTCCTCCCAGGTTGAGTTGAAAAACAGCCTTGGCTGATACTCCGCCTATTCACCATATACTGGAAGTTTTTTTCTTTGTTTTTGTTATTGTTCCTGTATTCTGTTCTATTTTATTTTGTCTATTCCATTTGTATTTTTGTGGTGAATAAAGACGTATTATTATTATTATTATTATTATTAATACCACGAAGGGCGTTGAATTATATCCGACAGGCGTCAGTGCAGAAATCTTCACAGAAAATTTCCTGCATATGCAATTGTCAATACAACTGAAAGAGTCTACCTTCAATTCTGGAACGAGCACACTTGCAGACCGGTTTCGGGCTTATTAGTCACTCATCACTGCAAGATATTTACGAAAATATGCTTTCATCAAAGTCATTTCTGGTTCACTAGTTGATGGGGTCAGTCATATACAAAGTAAATTCAGGTGAATAATTGATTATTCTTTGGAAAAAAGATTCAAAATTCAGTTTACAGATTGGAATAAATTCAGTATCTTGCTGATTGATATTACCAAAAAGTCAACAAGCGAATCCATGGTACTATCAAAATTGTTAAGGAATATTGGGGAATTTTTCATTCATGAAACATATTCTCAGGTATGGTCGCCCAAAGTTGATAATGATGGGTGTAATGTTGAGTACGATGATCGGTTTAAGTAAATCATTTTCTGGAAACTACATAGTGTATGCTGCTTTGGAATTCCTCGATACTGCCTTATGTGCCGCCACGTATTCAGCATCATTCGTTCAAGGTAATTATTAAACTATCTATGTTTTGATCCTCAAATAGTGGTTTTTCATTAAAAAGTACTCAGTTGTTTTCAAAATGTTAACGTTAATGCGTCACAACCATTTAAAACCCAACGTACTGGGACGATTTCTACACATTTCGATGTTATTCAGTTTCCAATGGCACCATTTTCATAAAAAAATAAATAACTCGAGAACGATTAGAGTTAGGTACATAGTACTGGGCACTAACAACCCTCACGAATTCTAGTTTGAATGAATTATTTCATCGTACTTTGCGTTTTAGATTTTATTGATGATGAATGAAAAAACATTGTTTTTGATGAAATAGATGATTTTGATTTCAGTTTCATAACAATACGATGAAATGGTTCCATTTGGAGTCAGCGAAGTAATGAAGAGTTCAGTTTCCCTCTGTATAGCAAACATTCTGAAAAGCCTGGAGTTTAGCGTTTCTATATTTTACCGGCAGCCAATAAACTTGCCTTGGTTTCTCCCATACTATCTATCAACAACTCCAAATCTTTTACGTGAAATGAAAGCAGCAGAAATCTATTCACTTCTGAATCTACACGGTGATAAGACAATGTATGAAGTATTTTTCAAAAGATCCCGACTTGTTCGGAAGCCTGACTTTTTTCCTTAGGTCAACTTGTCTCTAATCAGAGACCAAATAATTCGTCATCTCCTATCAAGATGATAATTTCCACGAATTATTTCGTGTCAAGGCAGTGAAGTATAGTTGTGGTCACTTATTTCAATGTCAAACTTTCCGAGCAGGGGACTTGAAGAAAAGAAATGCTTCAATTTCTGCTTCAATTTATTTCGCGAAACAGGCATAAATGGGCATTCAAACTCCTGAATAGCTAAACCGCTTAACCCTGAAAGAAATCATCTGATTTGCAAATTCTCATGAAACATCATGATTCTTCGACTTTGTGCATACTTTTTTGTATATTTGTCAGTGCAAGTCTCTTCAAAGTTATAATTATAGCAGGGGAGCCCACGATGTAAAATGGGGATTTACTCGAGCGTCATTGAGACATATTAGGTTGCAAAGCTTAAATAATAAGAAGAAAAAAATGTTATATAATATATACCTTTTCATCGGTAGGGGAAGCGGCTATAGATTTTTAAATATGTAAAAAAATACTGTTGCATGGACATACTCGAGCGCGTCAGATATTGATAGCATCAATGTCCTACGTATTTTTAATAATGTTGGTATGTTATTCTGATCGTTTGCATGATGTGGGTGGTTGTACCTAAGGGTTAAAAGTGAAAAGGAAAAAGAGCGCATCAGATTTTCTAAGGGGGTGTTGAGTGCAAGAAAAAAAAGCACCCATTCAATAATCTGACGATTTCTATCTGACGCAAACTCGCGGCCATTATTTAGATTTGCAAATACTCAAGCGCGTCAGATTGAGATATATGTTTTAGACGTACTGTCTCATAATCTGACGATTATCTAGAGGGATTCGCTTGATCTGACGAAAACAATATTAAAAAAAAATAATTCCAGACAAATGAAACTTTCTATGTTTTTTACCACCTTTATTTGTAACTAACGTTACTGCAGTTTCGTCCTATAAGGACATTTTCAAACTTATACATTACAGTTTAATGTATTTTATTTGTAACTAACGTTACTGCAGTTTCGTCCTATAAGGACATTTTCAAACTCATACAATATATAAGGACGGTAAAAAACATAGAATGTTTCATTTCTCCTTTCTTCATTATGATTTTCCACCACGTAGTAACGGCTACATCCATCATTTAATTGATTAATTAATCATCATCTTCATCTTCATTACAAACGAGTCTCTGTGATCAGCTGTGATGGCGTCATGGCAACACAATTCAGAGCGGGGACGGAGTGAGAGAGTAATAGATAGAGAAAAAGTGAATAGAGAATAGAAGAATAGAAACTCGAAGAGGGAAATAAAGGTATCACACCGCTGCACGCATTTAACTTTATCGACGAATTTTCGTTATTTTGGCTTGCGAAAATCGTCAGATTATATATTTTTCGATATCCTTTGATTATTTCCTTCAAAATAGAAAAAAATTAGCTACGCTCGAGAATGTCGACATGACGTTATTTTTTTACAACTTTGCTGTCCTCCCCTTTCTTTACGTCACTCTCAAATTGTCAGATTACTGGAATATACACTTTTTAGCAGGTAATTAACTCACCCTACCTTAATCTGACGCGCTCGAGAATTTCTGATGATCAATTTTTTTTTACTAATCCGATTCTTTATCCCTCACAGGCGGCCTTATATATGGGGCTCATATTTGGTGGAGTTACTTAACCGGGTACAAAGTATTCCCCTGTATATTAATCTGCCGCGCTTTAGTGAATCCCGAAATCCCCGCTTGGGTTCCCCCATTATAAGATCAAATATTCATACAAACTAATCGGCTTCGTGGAGGAGCCACAATAACCTAACCTAACCTAACCTGGATCAAAAATTACTCATTTCCGATGAATTTGTAGTTGAATGTTGAAGCAATATTGATAATATTTGTCGTAAAATGGGATGAAGTACTCGTAGTTATTGATTTAATAATAATAATTACTATTATCATGAGAGTGGTCTTTATTGGGTGAAATAGAATATTATAGCAACCGAGAGGTGAAGTTCAAAACTGCAGTATAGAACACTACAGGTTTGTTCTAACACTTCAAAGTGTGCACATTCCTATGGAATGATATACTGCAATATAAAGTTACTCCTGAACATGAAGGAATAGCAGAGTTATGAAAAAACAAACGATTACTAATCTCAGTTATAATTTTTCGAAATTATCTCATTATTCAATCCGAAAATATTCGAACAAAACTATTTTGTCCATTTAAAAAAATAGTTCTCACTAGAATTACATGTAGCTTCATCAATCCGTTCAATGAGTTCATATCAACTGATTTTTTCAGCTATGGAGCTTGTTAGGCCGAATCAGAGGGACCGAACCAACCTTATCATCTGTTGCCTTTATTCAACTGGTCAATGCATTATCGGGATAACGGCATGGTTGTCCTATTCCTGGAGAATGATGTTACGGATACTCTACACTCCAGGAGTATTATTTATTTTATTTGTCTTTTCAATCCCCGAATCAAGAGCTTGGTTCTTGGGGTATAATAAAAATCAACAACAGACTGAAGGATTTGGTGCAAAGTTGAAACAAGGGCTTCTTGGAAACCCGGCTGGGATGCAAACCAGAACGAAGCCAACGAAACACATGGAGTTTCCACGATTTCGGCATGCTGTAGTCAATAAAGTTTTATTACTGAGAATGATCCACTGTTCATTCACTTGGTTAGGAAGTTATTTTGTATATTATGGACTGACGCTTCAATCTCTAACAATTTCTGAAGATATTTATATCAATTTCATCTCCTGTGTTCTCTTCGACATACCGGGATTTTGGATATACTACTACGGAAGTAAAAAGTTTCGAAGGAGAAGGACAATGATGATAGCCTTTGCTTTTACCGGAGTATGTTGCTTATGTGTTGGATTCATCCGTGAGGGTAATTATGCAAAAATTATATTATATCTTGAGTCTTTACCCCATGGATGATCTATAATATATCCAAAGAAGTTACCCATTGAAGCCACCTGGCAAACCTAAGAAATATATTGAATACTGATAAAAACAGGGCTGCCCAACGTACATGAAAATATACCTAGATATTTCCTCCGAGCATTTTACACGGAATAGTTCTCATAGAGATATTTAGTGTGACTTTTCAATAGAAAACTGGTTTGAAATGATTGACTATTTCATAAATAAACGAAATTTTGATTTTCAATAACAAGAGTCACATGCCATGATCTACTAACTAGAAGAGTATGTTGGTGGACACGGTTTTATGCCGGGTCAATAGAAAAGCAGAATATGCTCACAAGAACAAGAAAGTGATTCCAACTGTATTTGACGATACGTTCCTAGAATCAATCGTTCAAGCTTTAAGGACAATCAGGTAGGATGACGCAAGCTGCAGGAGGAAAGACTGCATATTGAGAGGGAGGTTGGTATACACACCTGTTACACAGTATACTATATACAGTAATCCCACTTCGGGTGATTTTTGGTTTGAATTTTCTACACGCAGACCCAGGAGTTGCAGTCTCAGGTCTGCGCAAACGACGAGTTCAAGACAGGCACACAATCAAAGCGTTTAAACACTGCTCAACATAACAAATATTCATATAAACTGCTCAAAAAAATACAGTCGATGAAAACCATGTTGGGCACCTAAGAAACTGTTTTTTTTTTGAGCAGTTTATATGAATAGTTGTTATGTTGAGCAGTGTATACACGCTTTGGTTGAGATTGTAGTAGGGAGAAATGTCATTAGTGTCAAATACGTCATCATTATAAAAATGAAACTCCTGGACACCGACATCAAAGGGACCGACGCTGAGTGAAACTACTGTATACAGAAATACTGTGCCTGTTATATGAGAAACAGTAGGTGCACGAGTACCAAGAGAGAAAGTTGTTAACACTGTCACGAGGTCTTGTAAAGGACGAGCTATGGGACCGTATGGACACAAAGTATTGATTTATATATACGAATCAGTAATTATAGACCAGATCAAATATAATATGGTAAATTGATGAAGCAGGGTTCTCCATAAGCTCTACAAAATTGTTTATATTAGTATCCACCAGAAGGACCAAAAAAAAAGTATATGAATTTCAAAACAACGAATTGAAGAGAAACATCTGTCGTGGAAGGTCATATATTTGGGAGTGATACTAGTATCTCTGAAAACATATGCATCTAAGAACTGGTTGCCAAAGATAAAACGAACCACCTCTATCAAGAAATTGAGCAGGGTGCAAAGTGGTGCATATTTGGGAATAACAGAAGCCATAAGAATAACTCTAACGACTGCCATAAAGACATTTCAAAAATTTTCTTCTTCTCCGACAACATATATATTTGACAGCAACTTCGTGGTTAAAGTTTTGAACTAGAATAGAAACACCTGGAATTCAGACGGGTCAAAAACTGAACATGGAATGGGAGCTGGAAATTATTGTGCACGTAGGAGTCTTCATTTCAGTCACCCTCTCCGTCAGTACCCATCAATATTCTAGGTTCAAGTGTAAACAATCTTGCCTTTCGCAAGGAACATCAATTTAATGCTCTAACCAAATGAGCGGATGGACAGAAAGATTGTACTGTAGATAACAGTGTACTCAAGACTGGTCTGAAAATGAAAGAAATAGATTGAATCTATAACTGGTGATAGGACACCTTGATATCACAAACAACGAAAAACTCAATAAGTAAGCTAGACAAGGATCATCAACTGAGTCCTGAACCAGCTGTTGCAGTACGGAACCATATTTGAAAGTAGTTCTATGAGGAACATGTGTTGGTAAAATATACCCAAGAATACATATTTGAAGAGCTTCATAAATGGTCGGTCCGAGAAGAGAACTCAAGAACAGGTTCAACAAAGCAGTTATCGGCTCAAAGTCGTTACAGAGCGACTTACTGAACACTGTCCGTTGACAGGACACCTGAACAGAATAGGATTATACGAAAAAGACCTTATCAGTAGCCATGCATCGGAGAGATAGAGGGAGCTCGCAATATTTCTTGTGGGGTGTGGCTTTGGATCACAGGACATTCCAAATTATGTTTGAAAAAATATTGGGAGGAAACATAATGAGCCTATGAAGCTGCAGCATTTTTCGGAGAAAATCGACAAGTCGGAGGGCTCCAAAATATCGAGAGAGATAAAGGATAGATGTTTTCAAATGATAAATTCAAATCAATATCAGAAATCAGAATTTGACATCAAATTCGAAACCATAATTAGATCACCAATGCGACCAAAATGTCAATAGATGGCACATTGGCATGAATGACTAAGTGTGTGAGAATCTCTCGAAAAACATTTTTGACTCCCATATAAATATGTTGAAAAATGTGATCTAATACTTTTGTACGCTTCTTCTCTGGTAACTGAGTACTATGTTCATCTTCTATAGTATTATGTTACTTTGTGGGAATACACAGGGTGATTATCCTTGATTGGTTCCACAGTTTAGTCTCTGAATATACCTAATGTGGAAGCGGGTCATTACTACTCTGAAAACTTATCGAACCGTTAACAACAAAATTTTATGACAAGTTTGTATTGGCAAGAAATTCAATATGTTCGTCTGAGAGATAACAAGCCTGGAATACTTTACATACTGCGACCACCAAACAGCAGAAGTGGACCTTCAGTTGTAGAGTGGTAACTGAATGGAGTTCGAGGAATTTTGAAATAGTGAAAGAGAGCTCAATGAAAAGATCTGAAAAATTTAAAAACTATAAAGAAACAAAATACGTCATATATCCCCATGTATGTTCGATGATGTTTTTGTTGGAGAAAATTATTTTAGTGCAGCCAAACTTGGTTGATAATGAGTATTGCAGGGTGATGGGGTTTTTAATGATCTTGAGCTGTTAAGAAAACCTGGTTGAAGCAGAAACACATCTTCAGAACATGCAGATCCTCCTTGAAATCGAGAGAGGTCATTGGTCATTTCAGGAACAAGATCTAAATGACTTTCATAGAGCAGAAGATCTGAATAATTTGTAAAAGTTGTCCAATCATTCAAGAAATTAATTATCATGATGGAATGGGGGAATTTGTGATGCTAACATCATCAAATTTCTTGGTTGATTCAACTATTCAAGAAAAAAATTTTCATGAAAGCCAAATTCGTTTTCAATGATGACACTAGAAACTGAATTTATCATTTCATTTCAGAATTATATTGGATGAAGCTGATAATCTTTCTACTTGGAAAATGTGGTTCAGCGATGGTTTTTGCTTTGACATACGTTTTCACTGCAGAACTATTCCCTAGAACCTCAAGGCACGCCATGATGGCAATTTGTGCTATGTTTGGGAAAATTGGATTATTGTTGGCACCACAACTTCCTCTACTAGTAAGTTGGGTTCTGAAAATGAAATCCATGTCACTCATAACTTATTTTTGAATGAATTGAATGAATTGATGATTGTTTTGTTCCTTTACAGAATTTGAAAATAACGAACATTAGATTATGACTGCCGAAAACATAATTTTACCTTAACCAAACTGATTATAGACCCATTTTCTAGGCAAGAGTCAATAAGTCGGTGCCGTTAATGATTTTTGGAATACTATCTCTGATCGCAGGAGTACTAGCGTTGTTTTTTCCAGAAACACTCAATACTAAACTACCAGAAACAATCGAAGATGCGGTTAATATTGGAAAAACATCAGTTGGTCGCTTTGGATAAACTGAATCTTTCACTTAGAAATTTTACTTCTTTATAATGTACCCTTATCGAATGTGAACCAATTTGAATCCAAACCATCAACTTCTTTGTTTCTACTGGTATGAATTTTTTTGAAGCACTTCAAAATTTTGAAGAACACTCAGTATGTTTATGAACTATCTCATTCAGTTATTCATTTCACATGCAAACATTGTATTTTGGTGAGAAACTATTTCAAAATACTTTTTTTTTTTCAAAACAAAATTATTAGGGGGCTTTGATCACTGAAAAATATTTTTTTTTTCATGATATATGTGGAACTCTAAACAGTACTTTTTTGATACCATGTGAAACACCATTGATACCAGAAGAAATAGGAAAGTTATTGAGGCGAGCCTGAATCGCATCACACACGGTGTACTCGAAACATATCAATGTTCAAATTAGAATGCTAACAAATATATTTATATCAGCACTTGTCTAATATTTTTGATTTGGGAATGTTTTTATATTTGCTGATGAAAAATGAACAACTGATAGATTATGCTTGTTCAGGTCGAAAAATCGGAGGAAATGAGGTAGGTATTTTAGTAATATTAGTTCGTGTCAAAGTATTGTTAGTTTCTGGGAGTCTACTCTGAACTGTAATATCTCAGGGAATCCGTTCGAAATAAGAGCCATATAAATCAGTTGACTGTTTCCGTTGGCATATGAATTATGTCCTCGGAATTCGTTGAAGTTGACGAAGGCCGATTTTGCCTGGTCTTTTTCAGTGAAGATTCTACCGGTGAGAAATTTATCGAAATGCTTGATATAATGTATTATTGAATAGGATGCGCCACTGTTTTTGTTTGATATATTTCATTTTTTTTTATGCGTTAACAAAAAGATTGAGTAGGTTTTTTTGGGAAACTGGTCTGAAGGTTCATTAGGCTCGACCCACACTATGATGCCGTTCTCGGTCCGATCTCGCTCCGGTCTCGGTCCGTTCCCGTTCCGGTATAATGTATTATTCCAAGTGTGAATGTAGATCAGTAATGTTCATTGATGAATAAACATTATTCGGGAAATGAATAGTTTTCGTTTTCGTCGAAAGTACATATCACTTGAAAAGATTGCAGTCGGGTGGCGGAAGATCTCGGTATTTTCGGATAGTGATTTGTGAAACGTGCGGACGAGCGTTGTCGTGGAGCACGTATGGATCTGTTGGCCTCCGTCGGCTGCTTCTGATAATTTGGCTTCGTTGCAGAAAGTTATAGCGATTGTTATAACGTACAAACAATTAACAGATCTGACATGTAAATGAAAATGGTCTGAACAATAGAATTAGATTTCTGCCCCAAGAAATCTTCGTAAAATCCCACTTAGGTGTCACCCGTGTAATAAATGCTTCTTTCTGGTTTATTATTCTTTCTAAATCAATTTTGGCAGCTGCTGTCACCAGATGCGGATTTCTCCACATCAAATTTTGGATGTTAGGCAATTACGAAAGAGGCTTGAATCAGGCCTTCTGCACGAAGAGGAGGATTTTTTGAAACCTGATCATTTGGTATACATATTTATAGTTCTCTTTTATTATATGGTTCCAGAGCGATGCCGAAAATGTTCTAACTGAATATTAATCTTATTTGAAATTCCTTTCATTTACTATTCTCTTCTCGACAGATAGACTGAGAAGTCAAATTTTTTAAAAATGTTATTTACTCACTTAAATCTTATCCTACGAGGATGGTATTTTTCCCAATCTAAGAGAAAATAAAAGGCTGAGGAATCAAATATAGAGTATAATGAGTAAACCAACGACTCCATGGACAAATAAAAAAACAAAGTGTTAAATCATATAGAAGGCAAATGTTAAATTCTATAAAATGAAGGAGAATATATAACAATGATAATGCCGCAAATTTGACTGTGCTATTCACTATTAATTCAACCCTTAAACAACTACAAACGCACCAACTCAGTATAGAATACTTTCAGTTTCACTTTTACTTCAGAGAAGGTGTTGTATAACGTCAAATTTGCTTTCTTTTTTAATTGTAATCTGAACTCGAGCTGAACAACCCACACTAGGAACACAACGATATATGACCTCTTTGGAAATAGGAAGTGAACTCGGACAAAATAATATATGAACTCTCTCTCTCAATATCAACTGGTTAGTATAAAAAACACCTACATAACGCCTCTTTGGTGGTTCACGGTCAACCATAGGTTTCGCTGGCCCGGTGTGTCTTCAACACTAACACTTTCCTGTACCCAATACCAGTTTACAATTTCGGTACAAATTTTTCTTGAATTTCGCACCCAGCGCTCAGAAAAAAAATAACTTCCCTATTCAGGACACTATCCTCAGCCTCGAAGGCTGAGGGATGACACCCCAGAACCCGCCTTCACGGGCTCTTGTGTACAACCCCCTTCGTGGCTCCCACAACACTCCCCTTCTGTCTTTCCTGCCTTTCAAAAACCCAGAAAGAAATCACGGATTCCCCTTACCCCCCCCTGTTTCTCAAACTGTTCTTTGTAACAGTCGCCCAAGTGCGACGGAGGTCACCAGAAAACCTATTGCTAAATTGACAAAACTCACGATTTTAATGTTGGGATATTGATATGCCCATATCTACGTCCTGAATGCTACATGACAAATATATCTGACTGCATCTTTTCGAAACACGCACATGAATAGTGTTCATATAAACACTCTCAGTCTGATCATAATTTTACATTGTATGAGAGGCAGATCCGGCGTTTGAAATATTCTTAATTAAAGAAATCTGTCTCTTCCCTAAGTTAGAATGTAGATTACCATGCATAGCTTTCGCTAGGTTTTTGCCTTCAGTAAGTATCTGGGTGGCTCATTGTTGTCCACCCACTATCTTGAACGCCTTCTGTGGTCGTAGAGGATCCAGTTCAATTCGAAGTCGTAGAGAAAAATTGACCAAAAGTCACTCAGACATCTTATAGTAATAAGCAGAAAACACAAATAAGGAAAAGTGAACAATATCAATGTATACATGAAAAAACAACAAATAGTACCAATTTCATTCAATACTGCAAAAATGAAAGTGAAATCTATTGAAGTTGAAACCCAATAAAAATTTGTTCTCCACTCAAACAAATGAATCTCTGTATTTTCGCTTCATACTGCTTCAGAGTCTGTCTTTTGACTGATTCCAGACTGAGAAATTATTATCAATGAATTATTATGAATGATGAAAAATTACATGAACAGCACGCAGTCTAATTTTTCTTGACCTCCTGTAATAAAGGAAATGCGAATCTGTTTCTCTAGGACATTATGAAAGGAGTTGCAAACCATTTTTCGAAAACCTTCATTTTTAATTGATATATAATAAAGAAATTACTTCACCACTTTCACCATAAGAATCTCTGTATTGAATCCTTCTCTTCTTTGAAGAATAATCTCGGAGCAGCCTTTGAAAACACACTTTTCCACTGCAAATGTAAGTATTCTTACGAGTTTTCATTCTAATGCAGTCATACAACAATGAAGAAATTGATGTAATTGAATAAATCAATTATTTTTCTCTAAGAATTCCCCTCACATAGGGAAACCATTATCCAAAGTCCGTAACTTCCCATAACCTTTCCCATAAACTAATTCACTACCATATTCATGAAAAAAATGGTATTAGCGGCGCCATCTCTTTTTCTGTAGTCTAAACAGCAGCTCTTTACATTTCACTGGATTATCCCAGACTTGTAACTTCATGAATGGCTCATGTTGCTATTCATTGATAGATGTCGGTATATGTTTCACTGGGACAACAAATCATACTATTGGATTTTACTACAAAAATACCGTTTTCAGATTTGACAAACCCTTCGAAGAGAATTAATGATCGAAATATTAGTATAATGAATAATATTTTTTGTTCTTTCACAAATGATAATGACACATATTTGATTTATCATTGCTCAGCTTCGGGAGCAATATTTTCACCGATTATGTCTGTTAGGTTAGGTTAGTACATATTTCCAGTGTTTCTGGAAATATGTACGGTTGATGACTTGTTTTTTTGTGGTAATTCAGTTCAATGCCACTAATTGCCACAAGTTGAATTCATTTATAGGACCCGAAACCGGTCGTATAAATATAATCAACGAGTGGTCACAAGATCAAAGTGTTGTTATTCCTTTCACTAAAGTTTCTGGAAGTTTCTGGAAAGAACAAAACTCCTGCCGCTGAAGAGAATACTCCGAAACAAAGAAGGAGACACTTTTGCCCTGCCATCTATTGGATTGATAGAAGACTGCGTTCAGGAATATAAAAGATAAATGAGGCTCTCGAAGCCTTTGATATCAACCGTCGAACGAGATTTGTCATCTGTTTTACACTAATTCCACTACAAGGCAACAAAATGAAACCAGATCTCAAGAAAAAAGCATTCCTCAACCTAGCACCACAGATTAAACCTTGTCCGGTCGAAACAGCGTTATCTGGTATTGTAGCAAGAACCATTCGTTCACTTTGTACTTTGCAGTGGAAGCTGCAGTGGAACAGAGTGGACAAATCTCGTTGAGCTGTTAAAACGCTTCTGGAAACCTTGCTTATTTTTGATATTTAATAATAATAATAATAATTGAGGGTGGTGGAAGAGTACACGCATGCTATCGGTATGAAATTCGGGATAGACAAATGTGCAATGGTTCATCTCAAAAGAGGACGATGCGGGGACTACGGAGAGGATGTGCAGCTCGTAGATGGAAGCATCCTACACCATCTGGATGCCGGAGAGACGTATACTTACCTCGGGGTGGAACAACGCCACTCACAAGAGGTAACTGCAGTGAAAAACTCTCTCCGCGGCAAGTATCAGCACAAACTTCGACAGATCTGGTCATCGGAACTGTCGGGGAAGAACAAAGTAGCTGCAACAAATATGCTTGCCGTTCCAATCTTACTCTACTC